TTTTTATGAAGTCCCAGATTCTTACATCTGCCACTATGAATCATTTAGTACGATGGAAGAACCCCTCAATAATGTGATTAACTTTCTCACTGATGGAAAAAGAACGTGGAAGATAAAACATCGAGAACGGGTAAAATTTTTTGCTTTAATGTTAAATGCTACCTCTAAAGCGTGGCATTATTTCATTTCCTCTACTCTGTTGCCGACTTACCACCATAGTGAGGTAACTAGAGATAGAGCTATTCTGAATTTCTGTATTCAGAATAACAAAATTATAAATGTGGGGAAGATTATTTTCAAGAATATATTGACTACGGTAATGTGGAGGTCTAGGACATCCTGGACTTATTTATGCACTTTGCCAACTTTCTGGAGTGGAAGCTGGAGATGAAGAGTGGGTTCACCCTATGAAACCCATTAGTAAATCAAATTTGAAAACTTATGTATCCTATGAGAAATGGACAACTCAAAGTAGGAGTCAGGAACCTTCTACTAGTAGAGACGTTCCCTGTACAAGATAGTACAAGTTATGACCCTCCTCCTTCTAGCTCCTCTACCTTAGCAGATTTGATGAATTAGTTGACCTTGCAGCGGAAGAGCATAAATTTGATAAATGGCATAAATTTGATAAATGAAATGATTGGAGGTTTAGAACGCCGACATGATTATGAAAGTGAGTACCTGCAGAGGAATTCCGATTTTGAGATAACTTAGTATGACGCTCAGGCCTGACACTATAAAGGAGAGCCTGATGTTACATTTCCTGAATGCCCCCGATATACTCAGTATCAACCCAATCCACATGCTGATCAAGGCGACGATGAAATAGCTTGAATGAAATTGATGTACTTATGTTTGTATTTTTAGTTTATGTAATCTTTTTGTAAGAGAAATGGATGTTTATGTATTTGAACTTTCATTTTGTGTACTTAGATAATTTTATTGTTTTAAATGTTTAATGTGGTAGTAGAAATGTGCATGTGTAAGTTATAGATGTTGCTCAGTACTTTATGGATTGTAATGCAATGTGATATTTATTTTCATTTTAGTATTTTTATCTTTTTTTTAGCATTGTAATTGTGTTAGGAAATGTTGTATGTTTTTGTTTTAGTTTTTATACTTATTTCAAAATTTCATTTCCCAGAAATTCCTCTAATG